TATATATATATATATATATATATATAAAATCATATATGTATATCGGGTAAGTTATTTTCTTTTCCTCTTTCTTTTAAATCGTAAGTAGTGCTTCTCTCTCTTGTGTCGCGAGTCTAAATAAATGTATCTGTTGTATACGTGTTCTCTCTCTGTGTGCAATGGTGTATAGAGTGCAAGGGGAAGGCACTTCCGCTGTTTTTAAGCCGACGTCACACCGAAAACACGGGACTGCGTTTTTAGTCTCTTCTACGTCATCGTCTCTCGTCTCGTCCCCGACGTTCATTCGTACACGCACGAGAGACGCTACTCTAATACACATACTTTTTTTAAAAGAATAACTCTCCTCTAGTAAAATATAACGAACATCCCTCTTATGGAAGTACGCGGTTAGTTAGCCTTGCGACAAAACAATCACAGTTCTAAGGAAACGCTTCTCTACGGTGCAACAACAACGGCGGTGACGACGCGCTGCTCCGGCGGAGCGGCGCGTCGCGCCGGAACGCGATTCCGGGCTCTCGGTGTGAATTTAAAAAAACCAGCCATCCTCCTCTCGATAATGTACGTATATAATTTGTAGACATCAAGTTTTGAGGAACCCTAAAATGTGTCGGTCCGTAATCTGTAATTCAGCTTGTCTTCATCGACTTTCACTAACTCTCACGAGGCCGAGAAGTCGGACCTTAATTGTAGAGCCTTGTCGCGAAGTCGAATACGGGACTTCATTGCGCACTTCATTCGCCGAGTGTCTCCGGCTCTTGTCCAAGGCCGTTTCAAGACTTTGTGCACGTGGATGACCGTGTGCACATCGTCACCCACTCGAGCCCTTTTCAGCGCCGACGACGTCACGTATGACGCCACGACGTGCGATCGCGACGTCTGATGGCGTCATAAGTACCGGTGTCGTGTGTGTGTGTATGTTGCATGTATATCTATGCAAATGTTAGATTGACGCCGTGCAAGGTCACCGAAAGGCCCGAGATCCTAGTGTACTCCGGTGCCCACGCTTATGCGAGAATGATGTGTGCGTGTGTACGTGTGTACGTCAGTGTAATACATTACATATTATCACAAAAGATCGTCCGCACGCGCGTTCGTCGTAAGGCTAGAAACAATTTCTTCTCCGGGGACGAGTGAGCTTCGCGCAAATTCTCCCGCTCGTGAGACACGAGAGCACGAAGTAGAATGCATTCGCCTTGAAGAGTTCTGTCGCTTGGCGTTCGTTATGGAAGACCGTGGTACACTCTCGAGGATTCTCGACTTCTAGAGCAACGGCGGCTCGTAATCTCATCTCCGGCTTGTGAGTGGCTCAAATGAGACTCGACTGTTCTTTGCGTTGTGGAATCAGTTCATGGATCACGATTAAAATGAGTCGTCGGAACGAACGTTCATGATACATCATTGGCTCAAATGAATAATGACTTCGCGAACTTCAGTCTTCAGGACTAGATGGACAGTAGGCCACGAGAAAAGTCTTTCGCAAGTGATCACTCCCCGGGAAAAATTTTTCACATATATGATTAAATATAATTATATATAATTACACATAATTGGATGTAATTATATACAAATGTATATAATTATATATATGAGAAATTTATGCCCAGGTTGTGAAACTGTTAAACGCGTTAAATACTTATCTATGTGCAAAGTCGGAGATTATAATGTGAACAACGGACAATTGGTTGAGTATTAACGAGCGAGAATGGATATCCATGAGAGAATTGCTTCGCGACCCGACCCTATCACGCGAGTTAAGAGCCGCCGGTCTCCAGAATCGGCAAAAACGACCTCGCTCTACAGTCTTGTGCGTAGGTGACACATTGTGACCCGTCGGAAGAAGTTGTTTCTAATATCGCGGAAGAACCGGAGGAATTGAGGAAATGCACACGCTCCGTCCGCTTCCCCTCGTCGCCGCTCTGCCGGAGCGCGACGACGTTGCTCACCGCCGGCGAAAGATGCGGTGTAACGCAATCCGAATAAATTTCCCGGTGATTGCAATTCCATCTCTCGAGTCGCGTCACGACGAGGGGATTAAAATTAGACCCGCGCGATTCGTAATGTACATTTTCAGCGGCGTGTATACCACGAACTTGGCGCCGAGTGGATTTTTGCCGAACGGCTCGCCGAAAGTAAATCTCGCTCTCTCGCGTGGTGTGCGCACGTACACACCCTGGTACGTGTATGTACGCGCCGGGATCCTCGGGAATACCTCATTCTGTTCTTCCGCGTTTTCGAGTACACAAATTCCTACCGTCGTACAATTCGTTCGCCCGGTTTTCCAGTCCGCGAAATTACGATACGACCGGCCGTTTCGTTTATTCTCCGCTATACGTGCCAGCGAGTGCTCTCGGTACATTGTACACGCCTATACATATATACATATATATATGTATATATGCATGTATATATATGTATAACTCTAATGCATGCGACAGACATGTCTCCTCTTTCCGGTTTCGTAACGTGTATAAAGAAAAGAATTATTTACAAACCACGCACGCGTATGTATGCATGCGGATGTTTAACTATGCATCCGGACTTAAACGAACTTTTTCAAATCACTGGCAGACACGTGAACGCGGATAAGCGGCAAGAAGAGAAAGAGAAATAGAAAAGTAGGTTGTAGCGCGCATTTCTTCGCATCCTCCCAAAAAGCACGCGAATCTCCCTCGGTGTAACGTCCCGCGTCCCGCGTCGCGCTTCCCGTTCTCTCTTTCTCTTCTCTCCGGCATATAATTAATAAAAATATACGCAGTGTCTATCATGTAACTCGTGTGAGTGTCTTAGGTGTAATGTTTGTGCGGTCGTGTACTATGATGCGCATGTGAACTCGTTTTTTTTCCTTCCACCTTCGAAGAGTGATCGACGAGACGCTTCTCCTTCCGTCTCACCGCCCCCGAAGTTAGACCGACCGTTTTTACTCTTTCTCTCATCCTCCTCCCTCTATCTCTCTCTCTCTCACTCTCGAGCTTCACGTAAATGCATCCGCGTGTTTCGCGGACACGCCGTTTCTTATTCTCATCTCTTGTGTTTCTTTCTCGTTTCCTCTGTTCCCTCTCTTTTCCTCGCTTTTTCGCACTTCTTTCATCCCTCTCTCTCTCTCTCTCTCTCTCTCTCGGTGAAATGCATAAGCTCGTAGGTCGCAATTGACGAAGTTCACACCGTGTGCAACAAACTCCCCCGAATTGAATCCGAGTCAGGATAGAAGAGTACGTTGTGTCCGAGCACGCTTAACGCTAAAGATAGTACACTAAATAAAACGAACGATTACATGCCTAGATCCTACGTGTATAACTATAGGACAACTAAGGACCCGCCGGAAATATCGCACTATTTCCGGTCGAGTTTATGCGCGTCGATGTGTGCAAGGTGTTTCTAGGAAATATACGTTACCACACGCACAGGTGTGGTGTACACTTAAATTAAACAATTAAAAGTACAAGTCAAATCAATAAAAATTTTCAAAACAACCTGTTCTCGGTAAACATTAACAAACATATTCGCGGCACGAGTCTCGTACAAATATTCACGGCACAACTCCGACATCGTTATCGGTACGATAACGAAGAAAACAGCTTTCTTTTTCTCTCAACAATATGCTAAGTAACGCTAAGGCGCGACTATTTTTATAGCCTCGTTAACGGAACATCCGCGATAAACGAGCGAATAAAATTTCGAATTTTTGCTAGTGTACATAAACAAGCGAAATAAGATCTCTAATAAAACGACTCGGCTACGGACGATAATCATTCTCGAGAACTCTGATCGCGAACATTAATTAACACTACGGACTTAAAGGCAAGTATCTCGCGCGTAACGTGACAATAGGCCGAGCGTCGATTTTTCGTCTTGCTTGTGGCGGACGTTACACGATAAAATTTGGACGAATGAGCTAATAACACAGAAATTGGTGTACTCCCGAAATAAAAAGGGCAAAATATTGCGGCGCCGAACGCGGGCGCGAATTGACTAATTCACCGTTTACCCTATCGTTAAAATAAGAAAAAGAGAGGAAAAAACAGGATAAAACAAAACAGAGTCACGCAACGACACATAACACTTTCGATAGTTCTCCACTGTAAACTAGGCGCTAAATAAATCGGCGAAGCTCGATCGACCTGATTGACGAAAAGTGCGTCGCAAAAGTCGCCCTTTTTTCTTTATCCTACGAGAACATTAAAATATATAAAATAAAGGACTATAGAAATCCATGTGGCTCCAACCACGCTCGATATCTCCGCAGGCTCTCTCGCCCTCTCTCTTTCTCTCTCTCTTCCTCTTTTTCTCTCTCGAACGCGGTTTTCGACCGGCAAGTCGTTCCAGATTCACTTCGACAGAAACAAGATCGGAACGGTAGTCACGTATCTTCCTTAGTCACTCGAACAAGCGGGCAATATGACGGGAAAGGATCCCGGTATCTCCTCGCGTTGCTCGTCGTCGCCGTTTCTCTTTCTCTCTTGTACGCTCAAAACGCTCCAAATGGAATCGGGTCAATAAGGCACTGTTCACCGACAATGTCTGACTAGAAAATGAATCTATTTTCGGAACTTGTTTTCATTCTCCTCCATTTTTTTTTTGTTGCCTTTTCTCTCATTTTCTCTTTTTTTTTTCCTTTATACCAGCATCTGCCACTTCTCGCCTCGCCGCAGTCGCTCAGTTAAACATTCTGTCCCTCTCGCGAACGGAGACCGATCTCTCGTTTTTTCTCTTTCTCTGTTATTTTTTTTCTTTTACTCTTTCTTCGGCACCGGCTATTTAATATCGGTGTCACGCACGTTTTCCACCGTCCCGCTGATGAATTAAACACGACTTTTTCTCCCGCGCAATATTAAATAGATTAAAGCTAAAACAATTGCAATTCGATTTACTTTTCTCTCTCGCTCTCTCAGACAGCCAAAGTTACACGTGCTCGCTCTACTCGTACCAGCGAAATATAAAAAAAGTGGGAATAAGAAGGTACGAAAAGAGGGCGTTTGTACCGAGGCCCGGTGTGCGCATAGCTTGCGATCCTTCCTGTCGGGAATGCCCGATACTCTACAATTAATTCCCACCTGATCACGCGAACGGATGTACGTCTCGCAGTCCACCCGGACGAATTTCCGGCTGAACGTATCGATCTCTCGAAGAAGCAAAATACACCAGACTGGTGATTACAGCCGCTATCTCTCACTCGCTAGACTGTCCTAAATAGCTAAATAACCCCGCGGATCGTTCGTGCATACGTACGCGTGTGTGTACGCGAAATTGACTGCTAATCGTAAAGATACTCTAGAATAATCTAAGAGGCGCCACTAACGACGCAGTCGTCGTCGGCGGAACTCTCGTTCTCGCGAGGGAGAGAAGAGAAGGCGGCGGCACTCTCGTGACGAGCCTTCCCGAGCCGGCGGCGTGCGAGGGGGTATTTACGAGGTCTTCATCTTTTTGTACGGCTGCATGATGACGCCGGAGCTCACGGGGATCGCCACCTGCGGCTGGGCCGCTATCGTCGCCGGATTGCCGATCTGCGGTATCTGCGGGACACCCGCGGCCGCAACGCCGGCCGGTACGCCGGCTACCCCGGGCAACACGGCGTACGGATTCTGGACGTAGGGTGTGGTCTGCACGGTCGCACCAGGCACGGTCGGTATCGACGCCTGGACGTAGGGATTCGGCAAGATCTGCTGTCTGATGAGGGAATAGGGATTGATAGGTGTCGCGGTGGGCGGCGGTCTCGAGTAGGCCAGGATGCCCGCGGACAACGGAGAGGTCAAGGCGCCCGGGATACCGGCCAGACCCGGGATGACCGGTCTGGGAGTGGCCGCGGTGGCCTGAAGACCGGCAGCCACCGCGGGATTCCCGGCGGCGGCCGCGGCGGCGGCGGCCGCGGGATTCACGAGGTTCTGCTTGTTCAGAGCGACGCCGGTGTAATTGAGCGCGGCGAGCTGGCTGATGCCGGCGTAAGACTGCGGCGCCTGCGACAGCTTGATGGCCTTGGCGTAGTTCTTCTGGGCGACCTCTTTAGCGAGAGCCGCGGGATCGAGAGCCGAGGCTGGTAAGCCGGACGCCATACCGAGGCTGTTGAGCATGTTCAGACTCGCCATGTTCGAGGCATTGTAGCTACCGACGGAGCTCATGTTCGTTATAGACGGCATATTCGCCATGGAGGCCATCGAGGCCATCGAGGCCATGTTCACCACGCCGGGCATCGAGGTCAAGCCGGCCATCGAGGTCAACGGACTCATCGCCGGCGGCACGCACGCAGCCGCCGACAGCGCCAGCTGGTTGATCTGTTGCTGCTGCTGATGTTGGTGTAGCTGCTGCTGCTGCAGCGACGACGACGGGCTCGGGTGTTTCAATTCGGGGGAGTTACGCGCGTTTTCGGCGTCGTGATTCTGTGCGGTCACCGGCTGCTTGTTATTGCCGTTATTATTGTTACTGTTATTGTCGGCGGTCGGAGGTGGCGGCGGCGGATTGTTGCAGGGATCCATCAGCACGCCATTGTTGGCGTCGGCGCAGTTATTGACTGTGGCGCCAGCGGCTCCCTGGGAGGAGGAGGACTGCACCACCATCGCGTGGTGGTTGCTTTGCACGTTCGGGGGTTGCACGACCGATTGGTTAGAGGTTTGGGTGGGTAGGGGTGGTGTTCCAGTGTACTCACATGACACAGGCACGAAGGGCTGCTGCAGCTGCATTAACTGCTGATAGGTCGTCGCGCCGGTAGGCTGATAGACCGGCACGCCGGACTTGTCGGCCGCCGGTCGTTTATACGGAACCATCCCTGGGAAGGTCTGGAAAAAGAAATTGCCAAGACATCGGCGATTAGAACGAGCGAGGACGCGAATCGCGTGGCGCGCGAGCGGAAGCTTCCTCTCGTGGTGAAAGCCTCGACTCCGCATCGGCCGGGGGACACGATATATTTGTTCTCTTTTGCGTGCTCCTCGCTTCTCCTCATCCAGCCGTGCAGGGGACGTCGTTTTCCACGAGGCGGTCGAAAGAAAAGCCTCCCTTTCGTCCGGCGATATCGAATTTGGCGTCACTCACGAGCCGTCGCGGCGATTCCTCCGCGGGAGGGTGCGAAGCAATCGCCGCTTTCGGCGAATTTAGATTGTCCGACTCGACATTCACATCTCCCTGTGATCGTGCGGATCTCCTCGACCGGGAGATCTCTCGTTCGCGCGATTATTAATCGCGAGTACGAATCAGCCGCGGAAGTGATACGCGATGAAACGCGACGCGAGTCGCAGCCGTATAAGTTATGAGATTCAGTGTGTTTAGGTTCTGCACTTACAAAGTTCTCGTAGTAGAACGACCCGACAGACTTCATGTCCATCTGCAACAAAGACAGGATCGGTTTCAACTAATTTCGAGGACGAGGCGTCTGTATAATTGGACTTTCGAGACGGGAAACGAGAGAGAGGGTCGTGTCTCAAAGAAACGAGGGGGTTAGACGGTGGCGCGGTGGAGAAGGGTGGTGGGGTTGTGGTAGTGTGTAAAAGTTGTGCCGATGACGCAGCTTGCGGCGACGTTCCCAAACGACGACGTTTCGTTGTTGGATAACTGTAAAATGTTACGTACGTATGTTCGTTCGTTCGTTCGTCCTTTCGTACGTTCGTTCGTTCGTTCTTTCTTTCTTTCTTTTGCACTTTTCCTCTGTTTCTACTACTGGGAGAGCGTGTCAGAAAGACCAGCCATTAGTTAGTATCGAGGACCGTGCGCGGCTCGATTAAAGAGAGACCGTCATACTGTCGTTAACAAACGATCAAAACACCGGATTGGAAGAAAAAGAAAAAAAAAAAAAAAGAAACTGCACTATCGCCTTCCTAATTGAAACTATCGCGCGAGAACGAAGGTATCAGGGCGTCGCGATGCAATTATAAATGCCAATGCTTAATGTTCGATCTGAAAGCTTTCCGTCCGTTTACGCGCGACAAGTACGAAACAAAAATGAGAGTCTTTCTTCCCTCTTCGCGAGCAAAACGGAGAGACTGACAGGTGAAGAGAAAGATATAGAGTAGAGAGCGGAAGAAGAGAGAGAGAGAAAGAGAGAGTGAGAGAAAGAGAGTAAAGAGATAGAAGAAAGAGATAGAGAGGTAAAGAAAAGAACAAGAGAGCGATCGCGGCAAGAGAGATATATATTGATAAAAGGCGCAAAATTGAGGGGGAGAGGCGGGCTCGGAGAACAAAAGGCTTCGCGATACCGACGAGATGCGAGAGAAAAAGAGAGAGATAGAGAGAGAGAGAGAGAGGGAGAGAGAGAGTTGCACAACACGAATTCACGAAAGCTGGTGGGCTTGCGGTGATATGTACGTGAGCGGGCACTTTGGTAAGTCGCCTGCGACAGACGCGTGCGCAACAAAGAGGGGGAAAGCCAAATCAAAGTCTCTATCGAGGTGTAACACGTTCGAGTTAGAAGCTGCTTAGACGAGATGCAGAAGCTCAGAAGCTGATAGTGAATGTGGCCGGGGTGAAACATATTGTCACAGCGGCACAGATACATACATATATGTATATGCGTGTTAACACGTGTTCCGCGGCTCGCTCACCGACGTAGGACACGGAGTCGTAACGACGCACGGACACCACGATCCTCGTAGTCGCGGCTTGCGCGAGCGCGAAATTCCCGACTTCAGCCGCGAACGACTCCTCCGTTCGCCTTTGATCGTGTGCGCGCTCGTGACTAACGGAGCAAATAAACGTAATTGCGAAACGTCGCCATTAAGCGTGTGCGCGAAAGCGAACAAGCGTCTCGCTGCGTTCTGATTAGTGAGAGAATTACTTGGGCGCGACCCCGAGGATTATCGCGCGACGGGCGACGCGTCTTTCCCTTCTTTCTTTTTTTTTTCTATCATTCATTTTTTCGCTACTTTTTCCTCTACCTTTTTTTTTTCTCACTTCGTCTCTCGACTCCGTCGTGACGTGCGTGACGAACGCTCCGTTCGCCCGTTCGAGGTTCTACGAAGGGATGCGTCGATACGTCGCCACGTACAAGCGGTACTTCCCGCACACATTTTCGGCCTTTCCGGTCACGTGTGAAAAATATATATTCCCGCGATGCGAAAAGTTCGGGCGCGTTCTCTCGTAAAGGAAACCGCGCGCAACAGCGAATATCCATTCTCTCGTTCCGTTGCTCCGATATTATCGCGCTCTCCAGAATTTCTGTTCTACCGTTACCGATACATTTCCGCGGAGCGCGCGCGCGAGAGAGAGTCCGCCCGTGTTCTTATGAATTTATACGAATCCCCTCCAGACGACTTTTTTTTCCTTCTCTTCGCGCGCGCATTGAAAAGTCCGTGCACTGAAAAATATCGGAAAGTTATGTGCGCGCGCTCTCTCTCTCATCGAGAGAAATCCTCCCCACCCTCCCTATTTGTACAGCGAAAATCCATTCTGCCGTGCTGATGCGCGAAGTTAGAAAGTTGCGGATCGCGCCTCGAGCCCGAACGAATCCGTCGATCGCGCTTTAGATCCTGATTGACAGTATGAGCGACGGAAGGACAAGAGAGAAAGAGCGAGATCCGTAATATATGTATACGTACATAAAGACAGAGGTAAAAGAAAGGGTAGTATATTAAGATTAAACGAAAACAAAAAAAGAAAAGAAAAAAGAGAACAGTAGCGAGTGTATGTAAGCGATCTACAGTGCTCTTTAGCGGATTCGACGTGACTCAAACGAAGACGGGCCGTCACGCGGACGGCGAATTCCGAGCTCCCGAAACGCGTCGCGGGCGATGAGGGTCCGGCTCGACGATCCTCCACGACAAACAAGACAAGACTGCCGAAAGTTCGATCATCGTCCAGAGCGTCGAGGGGATGACGTTACGCACCATCACCTCGGTAGTCGCTTAAGCACAACATGCATCATCGGCGCAAGCTCAGAATTTACACAGATCTAACGCTCCGTATTTTGTGTAGACGCGACGCGTTGCACCACCGCGGTTTCTCGCACCGCGAGCGAGCACCGCAGTGCGTGCCTTCTCTCAGCCAGACCTCTTTCTTGGTTTGTATTTTATTTTTTCTTTCTCTTTTGCTGCTACACTCTTTTTCGTTTCCTCGTGCGAGGATATCCCGACGTACGGAGATTAGAGTCAATGGGCTTTTCTCGCGTCGAACCGCGCGCGCACTTCTCTGTTCCCCCGCGTTAAATCCTCCGACGACCAACGAGTGATCCTCGGTCTCTCGAAAATCCGAAACTAAATCCGTATCCGAGACAAATTTCTCCACGGCGAAAATTCGACAGGACGTCACCGCCTGTCTTGTTCCGTTATGACGAAAGCAGAAAATGTGGAAATTTATTACTCGTAAACATTTTCTCCCTCTTAAACGCGTGTATCCTTTTCGTTTTCACACCTCTTTTCAAACCGTCCCCCGGCAGTGCGCGCGTGTTTCGAGATGTAAGCGCGACCTCGTCGGCCGAGGAATCGCCAAGGGATAAATATACGTTAAATCGTATACGACATCGTTAGCCACGCCTGAGGTGTGTGCACGTATGTTCGCGACTCTGATGGATCGTGCGCTTTGCGCGTCGCCTCGCGTGGTTTCCCTCCGCGAGCGGCGCGCGCCGAAATCGCGTGGCTAACGATCGGAGAAAAATAAACAAAAAAATTAAGTAGTAAGCGATCTATAAATACATTACGAGGCGTAAGCTCTGATACGAACAACATCGCAACGAACGACAGTGGGAAGCGAAAAAAACCAAGAGGAAAAAAAAAATTAGAAATACAGAGAAGACAATTTTGCCGGAACGGCGAATTGCTTGTTAATATAGTGACAGCAAAAAGATCGGTCAAGGGTATTCATTTTTTAGTTATGCCGACTAAATTTTATCCGCTGCAAAATCACATTTTCCGTACGACGAATCCTCTTCGCTGTCACTAGACTAACGAACAATTTGATGCTCCGGCAAAATATTTCTCTCCGTGCAGAGACTCTTGAATTTCTCACGCGATCGTTCCCGGATCAGAACCAGCGGCGGGTCGTGCGCGAGTCGATACGAGATACGAGGATGTCGCGTGTCCACCCTTCGGGTGGATCTTCGGGGAGCCGTTTCGGCCGCGAGAGACAATTCGCCACGGTGACGAAGCCACGCGTGGCGACTGTTGGTAATCACGGATTCGCCGATCGTGACGAGACATTACGCGCTCCAGTGTCAAGAGAGGGCTTCATCAATCGTGACGCCGTGTGTGACGCCACCTCGGTATCACAAAGGTTTCTATGGTGATGTCCCGCACGGGGCCAGTGCTGCGGCGTTACAGAGGTTTCGTTAATGACGCCGTATGCGCGGCGTCGCTCGTTTCGGTTACGATGACGTTACCGGTAGTCCAGGCACTTCAATCATGACGACGCGTATCACGACGGCCCGCTCGCCGAAGTGGTTAAACGGTATATCTCGTATCGTACACGCGGGCAACCTCCGTCTCTTTCCTGGCTGATAGAGAAACAGCGGGGTTCTTGTTAGAAATAATAAAACGAAAGACAGGAGCTATATATAGAGCTCTAAGCGCGCTCGGCAGTGTATTCACAATCGCAATAACTATACTCGTAACTTAAAGGTACGACTACTGGGTGGATCCTCCGGAAAGTGGCCCGTGGGCGCGTTCCGTCGCGGTCGGACGAATCTTTATCGCGCCGCGAAATCATAGGCGTCACTTATAACGCGAGAGCGGCGACGGCTCGGGTCGATTGCACTTACGACGAGAGAGCCGTACGCCGTTTCGCAGCTTTCCATTGAGAAAGTTCGGCCGGATCGAGCGCAAGTACGGGGCGGCGAGCCAGCCAGTTCGGAATTCTGCATGAGATTAGCGCGAGATTATACCGCAACCGTCGATGACTAGTTTCTTGCACTTTGCCTAACGACGTCGAAAATTTGCCAATAAACCGTTAAATCGACCCGGCGAATTCGACTAACCGTAAATTCCAGCCGATATCCCGCGCACCGTGGTATCACGCTGTTACATTATATCGCAAATATCGCGAATAATTCGTCCCCGGCGAATCTGCGCTCCGTTCGACCGAGAGAGCCGCGGAACAGCTTTTGTATCAAATACGGGAAACGCGCACGCGGAATCTTTCGGAAAATTATGATTACTCGCGCGACGGAACGAGACCTTTCTCGGATTAGTCGCGATAACGAGGCCACTTTTGCCGGGGTCCAACTACGAAAAAGGAAAAGTGTACTCCATGCATAAGCCGTGGTACCATTAGCAGATCATCATTGGAGTCGCGCATCCGCTTCTTGCCGAGCTCGATGCTCGCCATACCGGCGCTCTGAAGTCCTCCGGGCATCGCAGTTGCCGGCACTCCTGATACTCCGCCAGCCAACGCATCTATTCCCGTCACGTTCGTCGGCATTGTCGCCGTCTGCATTTTTTTCGTATATCGTGTGTCGTTTCGTGTGTAACATTTTTTTTCGTTATTTTATTTTTTTTTTCATTTTCACACGTTTGTTCGGTTTTTCCGATTCCACGTTTATTTTTTTTTTTTCGTCGTTCGTTTTCGTTTTCGTTCCGTGACGTTTTTACACCGTATATATGTAACGTAGATTTCGTTTTTACAGTTTTCCGTGCATCGCCGTGCGTCGACCACATCCGTTTCCGTTTTCGGCATTCCCCGAGACATCCCCCAGTCGAGACATTTCCGGTATTTTTTTTTTCGTGTGTTAGCATATTTATACATATTTTGTTGTATCGTTGCGGTGGTTGTGGTGGTGGCACATTTTTTTTTTGTATTTTGGCATATGCGTGCGGTGTGGTATCGGTCGATCGTGCATATTATTTATATTGGTTGTATTATATTTTTTTTTTACGTTGGTATAATTTTTCCGAGTTTCGGTTGGCAATATTTCGCAGGCGTTAATTGGCAGGTAGCGAAGCGCACGAAGGTATTGTCAGCAAGCATGTAGAAGCATCGTCAGGCGGAAGAGGGCAAGATAAAAATCAAAAAAAGAAAAACAGACCAGTTGAGGCTAAGGCAAGAAACGACAGTCGCGATATTTTTTTTGTTTTTAACATTTTTGATTACGTCAAGAAGAAAGAACACACTCTCGTGCGTGCGTGCGTGTGCATGTCGAGTGTGTATGCCTGTGTATGTGTGCGTGTGTGTGTGTGTGTGTTCACGTGCGTGCCCACGGTCGTATTCGATACGTATTCTTTTTAAGTAAAACCAATGGCCCGCTTTATCGCGCTTATCGAGCGATTTCGTCGTTCGTGACGTATCGGTACGCGAGAGCGTGCACGCACACACACACGCACGCGCGCGCACACGCACGTACGCATGAAATTTACGACTCACGATATGTATATATTATATATATATATATATATTTTTTCTTTTGCGTGAGCGCGCGCGATCGCGCGTAAGACGATACGCTGGGTATGAGTGCGCCGCTCGAGTTACTCGCACGTGCATCTCGAGTGACGTAATTCTTTCCCGTCTATCATGCGACCCGATCGTCCCACTGCGTGGCGGCTAACGCGTCCCCCGTTTACTTTTCTGCTCCCCGTTAATCGTCCCGATCTCTCGCGTCTTTCTTCACGCCTGTCGACGCGAGGCAGCACGTCGCGCGCCGATAATCAAGTCGGAAATAACGGAGAACGGAAATAGATGCAAACGCGCGGTGCTCGTGTAATTTCCGCGCGGTGGCAATATCTCGGGGCATGTACCTTCGCGCGATACGCGCCGAACAAGGTAGAAAAAGCACGCGAAGGACGGCGCGCGAGAACCCGTGCGAGTAGAACAGGAACGGCCTTGGTCGGACGCGCGATCGCTGAGCGGCTCGTCCGATAAACGCGGCGCTGCCGATAACGATGATGCGCCAAGAGCGGTCGCCGGCCGCGTTTGTTGTATCGAGGAAAATATTCCGAGAGACGTTTCCGTTGCAATACGTCGCGGTATCGCTTTTTAGCGTTCACCCGACGCGCGCGACGCCTCTCTCTCCGCATCCTTCTCGCGACCCGCTTGTGGAAAAGCAATTGCGATCGCGCACCGCGAATTATACACCGGCGAATCGAGAACTCGCCTGACGCACGCGACGCGTACGGTTTATAAGCAAATAACGCGCGGTTTTTATCGCGCTTTCGCTCGTTTCCGGTGCCGCGTTTATCGGCAATTCAACCGCGTTACTCCCTTGAAATGCACGTAGTAACGCGGTGACTCGCAGAAAAATAAGGTGTACCCTATGAGAGAGAGAGAGAGAGACACGAGTGTAAACACCACCGATCAATGGTCGAGATAATAATAATAATAATAATAATGATAACGATGAGACAATAAGAAGAATAATAATAATAATAACGGTATACAATGACGACGACGACAATAATAATAATAATAATAATAGCACGTTAAAGGTTAGGACCAACGGACCGTAGCTGGCGTCAGCGTCAATCTGCGAGCTAATTGGCGAGCTAGTTCATTATTTCATCGACGTTAAGGAGAATAGAGATACAGAATAGATAGAGAAGTGAGACACATCTACGTAGCGGAGCACGGTGTCTATAGTGGTGTGACTAAAAGAAAAGCGCATCTTGATTGACAGATATTGGAAAATCAAAATCTCGGACGTAGAGCGCGGGAGGGGGCACGTAGATAGCGCGCGCAGTAGTGGTAGTAGTAGTAGTACGAAAGAGAACCGGTCCCACTTCATCGTCCATCGACATCGGGCTTTCGGCTGGCGTTTCTGACCCCGGCAACACCTGCAATAATCGAGGCACTCTCTCGAGGTTCATTAGTTTTGCGTCTGCCTCTCGCAATCTGTATTTGCGTGGACATATTCATGTACAAGAGAAATATAGACATATCTGTATACATATACACACATTAATATGATGATGATGATGATTATTATCATTATTTTATTATCATTATATACGTAATATGACTCTTTGATTTCCCGCTCCACTCCTCTCTCGCTTTTGCGTTAGCGCCCGGGCCACTGTTCAATTCGCTCCTCCCTTTCGGCGGCTTGCGAAACGGAGAGGGCGATCGCGCGAGAGAGAGAAAGAGTGAGAGAGATGGAGAGTTTTAAGTACATATAGTGAAGGGAAATCGGGGAGAGAATTACACAGAGAAATGCGTGCAAGAGACTGAATGAGTGAAGCGAAAGAGGAGGGGGCGTCTCTCTTAGAACCGTACTTCTCGGGTTATTTTTGTTTCGGTCTTTACGATACCTGAAAAATTCATGTAAAAAAGACATTGATTTAGTTCGTTACTCTAATTTACACCATCTCTCGTGAACGTCCAAGTGTACGGTGTTCTCTTGGTCAATTCTCGAACTCGCTGTTGTCGTCGGCATCTTCTTGGAGGGACAGGGATGACAGTGTCGTGATCGTGTGTACGTGTCTTCTGTAAAATTTTGGGTCCATGTGTGTGTGCGTGTGTTCGTGTGTGTGTCGGTGTATGTGCATGCATGTGTATATATTTACATGTGCGACGATAATCTGGTTCTGTACAAAAAATCGAGGATATACGCGAGCCTGAGCGGCTCGCATACGTGTCGTATGGCGGTTTCAGTGACAGATTCTGCGCACTTGAACGTGCTTGGAAAACTTCGTGTCGTACACTTGATAAACATTCAGGTATGGCGGCGTACCAATTCCGAAGAGTGCATTACGTCGCGACGATGCGGCATTTCAGTATGGCCCTCGTTGGCGACATCGTTGGTACAGACGACGCACATCGGGGTTAATTGTGGAGCTCGTTACGGGGACCATCGCGACGCATTATTAAAACGATCGGGGTCGAAAGAGCTCCATCGGACGCTCCGCGCGGCCGATATTTGCGACGGCAAAATTTATTAATCTCGCGCGCGCGCGCCGAGAGTTTATCTCAACCAAGTATTCGGCAAGTAATATTCAATTTATCGGGTTTATGCGTGTGTTGCTCTTGTGATAACGCCACTGTTTTTCTCGTTCGGACCGCGTAATCAATTTCGTAATTCGGCGGGACGCGGCGCGCACACGCCGCGAAATTCCGTCGAATTTCAAGAGAAAGGGAAAGACTCCGTCGGGAATGTTCTCGAGGCGGCGTCGGCACCATCGACGGGCCATCTGAAAGAAAGGAAATCAAGCGGAGAGAGAGCTGGTAAAACAAGCATTCTCCCGTATTCCGTGGCCGCGTTACGTTCTCTAAGAGATCCGCGCGCGCCAGCAACGTAACCCCGAGGCAAATTCGGACGGAGGCGATTCCGTCGGTACGCGGTATGCACCCTTGGGAAATTGAAAACCACTTTTAGAGAATGAGACTTCCCTGCCAACAAGCTGGTCTGCCGCAATCATCCATGTGAGACTTTTCCTCCATTGTGTCCGGGTGTGGCTGCAGGTCTTCCGCGCGACGTCGCTGAAAGCCTTTCTCGCTCTTTCTCTCTCTTTCACTCCTGCTTTTTTTCTCTATCCTCTTTGTTTTTTTCTTTTTTTTTTTTCCTTTTCGCTCGTGTGGTTTTTCCTTTTTCTTTTCTCTTCGTTCCTTTTTTCGCTCTTTTTATCCCCCGGGACAATGAACACGCTCGTACTCCGGAGACGAGTTCGCGAGTCGAGGCGCCGATGATCGAGTCTGCGGGAGAAAACGAGGTGCGTCCACCCCGGCACCAACTGCTTGCGAGAAAAAAAAAGTGCGTAACTGTCCCGAGGAAACACGACCGCCGTCCGGTCGTAAGCACACCTCTCGCGTACCGAGAAAACGCGATTTCGGAAGACACGGGTCCCGCGACACCGACACACCGATTGTCCGTTCGTCGACCGGGAGCGAACAAGGCTCGTTTAGCTGCACACCCATTGACCCCCCGCCGACCGATCGTGCCAATTTTTACGGTCGATTAATCATCCCTCCTCGGTTTAATTAAAATAATAACGAGGATAATAAACGACTGCGAAAGGGGGAGAGCGATCGACCCGCGCGAGCAACTTTTCCAGGGAGAAAACGCGGAACCAGGGCAAGAGGGTCGGAGGACAACGGCTCCTATTTAGGTTTTGCTTAATGAATCGCGAGCGAGCGAGCGAGCGGGCGAGCGAGAGCGCCGCCAACGATCATCTCTCCTCGTGTCACCACCCCCGGGGCTGCGGTTATTACACATGTGCGATATCTTCGTCGATCGACGATAAACATCGTCTCGCGGACAATACGCGCACTGTATTTTACGTACGTTGCGAGAGAGCTAAGAGAGACAGATTTGACAACGGAAGTGGACAACGACATTTCATCGCCTGGCCCACACACCTCCCAACAAACCCGTCGTAACTGTTTTTGCGTTCCTTTTACTTGTTCGATTATATACATATATATACGCTTTTTTTTTTCTATCTTTCGCTGTTTTCTATGTATAGACGTATCTTTTCAGGGACTCTCAGTGTAGCGTTTTTGTGTAGGGCAGCAAAACAGCAGCGGGGTTGATAGCCGGGTTTCGTGCAGCACAGCTTGTCAGCAGGGTGGTGTACGTGTCATTCGTAAGAGATATATATTTTCTCAACTACTATCTTATTTACAAGGACGTGGCCACGTTCCATTCCCGGTCGGCCCTCTTCGCCGCTCCGGACGGTACCGGCTGATCGGAAAACGCTCCGATTAGCGCGAATTAATTCGTTAATTAGCGCAAATTATGCGATTCAACGTGTGATCAGTGCACAAGCATTGTATAATTAATAAACTCACTGAACATATATCATAAGACTCCTCGCAAATTGTGTATAATTTAACGTGATTATAACGCGCTTGATTAATAAATCATTCGATTTAAAATGCTATTAATTTCGGCGCGTGCTCCGATTATCAATGGACGAGATATAATCGCACCACCGATAATAATGCGGAAAGAAGAAAAGTATGTATATATACACACACACATATATATATATGTGTATGTACACACGCACACACACACACACATATACAAGTTTCCGCGAAATTCGAGAGGAAATGGAGCGTGCACGTGGCTGCGAAAGTACTTGTATTCATTATGACCTAGGTACCGAACAGGTGATTGGTGTATTGCAACTAGTTCTTTGCACCTGGGTAGCTGCGATAGGCTGCTAGAAAGAGAGAAATAGAACAGTGGTGTTTTGGTGATGTTAACAAGAATTTTGCCTCGTGTACTACTCTCTACTACACTACAGAAACGGCTGAACATCATACAGGAGATGTAAAATATGGACGAACACAAAAGCGACAAACATGGGACGAGGACCGTTTTTGTACGATCGTAGGGAGAAAATTAAACGGTGATCAAAAGTAGTAGTACTGTCAGGAAAATCAGGGGTAGGCAGGTGGAACAATTCATGGGGCTTCGAGGAGGAGGAGACCAAAGTAAACGTCTCTATGATAGCTGTGTGAGAGACGATGATGTCGCGATTTGCCGTGCGCCAAAAAAACTCTTACCAAGATACAAGTTGAGAGGACGAACGCGCGAAGAAGGTATGCGTGCGTCGTTCTTGTGAGCGATCGATAGAAAAGTCATTGTTTTGCAAAGTTTCGTGCATACTATCAGCTTGCCGCTGTGAACTGCAATTTCAGTGAAATTCGCGAAGTTCCAGTGCGCAAAGTTAATTCTTTGCGAACACGCCGGTATAGACGCGCGGCACACTATCTTCGGCGCTCCTTCCCTCAATCGTAATTAAGATAAACACGCGCTCGGCGCGTCGTTATCGAGGAATACGGCGAATCATCGCACTCCTGGCACAACTATCATGTAGCACGAGCACTGCGCAACAATTGGCCAATATTATTGCACCATCGTTAATCTGTCTTCACGCGCGCGCGATTACGCCGTAAATATCCACGGCGTATAGATCGCGTATATATGTCGGCATGTTACCGTAGAACACACGATACGTGTTCAACAGCGTGTGAAGCACGTAAAGGGACTATTGCGATCAAGGGTGAAGCCCGACGACGTATACACTCGACGTAGATTGGCGAAAAGCAGCGCAGCAAGGAAAAGCTCCTTTCGACGCAAACCCAGGAAACTGAAAGAGAGGGTGACGGTAAACGTGAAAGAACGAAGAAAGAAAGAGGCTGCGTGACAGAAAGAGAGAGAGAGAGAGAGAGAGAAAGAGAGAGAGAGAGTGAAGAAGGTATACACGGAGCGAAATACAGAGGAAGAAGAGCGAAACAAGGTGAGAAGACGGAGAGGGAAGGGGTTGGTTAAGGTGTGGGAGGAAGAAGGAACAAAGTGCGGTCGAGGGGAACATGCGTGCACTTCGAGTCTTTTGTTCTCCGCGAGCGATATCCTCGGCTTGCACAAAAGACTTTTCGAGGGTATCGCGAGAAGCATCGATGATACCCTCTTCCTTCTCTGTTCGTACGGATCCGGAATTTTTAAACTTTCGTCCGTTCAGGCGTATCGCTTGATAGAGAAAAGTACAGTGGGACGCGGCTGATAATCGAGCGATATAACGGAGGATGGAAAGAGATAGAGTAAGAGAGAGAAAGAGAGAGAGAGAGAAAGAGAGAGAAAGAAAGCGGAAATCGATGATTATTGAGAGTAATAAATGCGGATCCAAGCAATTGTGAGTATCGAAGAGAAGTTATGTTCAGATAGAAAAGAAAGAGAAAAAAAGTAGAGCAATTTCTTTCCAAGCTTGTTAGGCGGAAGCGCGACATGTCTTTTTCTTTTGCTATTTTTTTTAGACTCAAAAATAATCTCTTCGCGTTATCAAGAGAGACGAATTACGTATTCTTGATTTATTTATACATACCATAACGAAGGCTTTCTTTGTGGTTGCAATTAGTTAATTAATAAAATTCAATTATTGTCTATCGTTTCGGGTGAGACGACGAGATAATACCTCGGTAAAACAAAGTATCCGTGCTCCACCTCACGGATTTGACAAATAACTCGTCTCTCTAGACACACATTGAAACAACAGTGAAACTCGATACCGCGGTACACGTCCCCGTCATTTTCTCTTTACGACAAGCCACATCAACACCACTGTACTTTATTATCGCAGCTCAACAGTGAAAAGGACAGAGCATCTACTTTACTCTTTCTGACATTGACCAATTCTCAGCGGAGATAATTAAAAAAAAAGTGTAAAAAAAGACGACACACTTGCATGAAGCACACGCCACATGGAACGATCTGCGAGGTCGAGGCTGGAGAGAAAGAGATAGAGAGAGATATAGTAGAGTAGAGGAAAGGAGAGAAAGAAAGAGAGAGAGAGAGAGAGAGAGAGAGAGAGAAAGAGAGAGAGCAGAAAATAGAGAGGAAAAAAGATTATTTGTCGTCGCTTGACCCATTAATATCGAGGATTTTCATCGAGTTCAACGTCGCGTTAACGACTCTACTGCTGAAATAATTTTATCGAGAATACTGTTTCCGTTTCCACAGCGCATTTTCATTTTCTTTATGCAAACGCGCACTGCATGCAACTAAATAATGTTGCACATTGTTGACATTTCCATGAAATAAATTCTGTCGCGAAAATGGCCAAAAATTTTGTCTCAACATCCATTCATATTCATCTCGGAGTTTGTTTAATGGGACAATCGTTGACACAGAATATGGCGAAGAGCGTCGGTATCCAGCGACAGGAACTGTACGCAACGACGCGAAATATTTCTTTCTGAATTCTATCACAGATTGACATATCCTTCTGTTCCGTCTCTCTGACACTTAACGACATGCTTCATTTTATTGACGAGACACGGTCCTGTCGCAATCTACCGACAATCAGAATGGAGAAGTAGAAACAGAACGGACAGTTTGGTCGTGTGATGAAGAAAAAACAGGAAGGAATGTACTTTCTGTGTCGACTTTCTGCGGAGACCCAGAGAAGATTCGACGAAGGTAAGTAAGACAGCGGACTTCGTTATCACGCAAAGAAGAAAATACTTGGACGAGGTACTCAAACCAGTCGTCAAGTTAGATTACGGGGAATTTGGGAGAGGGACGAAACCAAAACGCGCAAACAGAAAACCGGCAGAGTAAATACGAATTGGGAGTGATAAGAAATAAGACGTAATCGTGATGAAAGTTAATGTTACAGAGAAAAAGGAAGCAAGAACGTGAGAAATGGAAGTAGTACAGAAAGAAAGAAAGTAAGAAAGAAAGAGTAAAACAAAAGAGATAGAGAAACAGATAGAAAGAGAGAGAGAGTATAGAGAAAGAGTGAGAGAGAGAGAGAGAGAGAGAGAGAGAGAGAGAGAGAGAGAGAAAGAGAGAGAGAGAGAGAATGCATTACCGCAATGCTAGCCCGAGATTGTGCGGCCTTAATGTGGGCTTGAAGGTGCAGAGGGGGGTGGAAATAGCGGCAGGGGTCCCGATTGCATCGGCCCTTGACAGCGTCCATGCAGACCGTCACAGAGCCGTCCTCGTTCGCCTGCACCGTCTCGAGGGGGTGCGCAAACCGGCACTCCGTCTCGCCGCGTTTGCACGCCCCGCGTTGAAACTCGCGACATACCTACAGCAAGAGCGAACACGCATGGCATGGCACTCTATCTATGTGGGCAAGGGGGGTTTGGGGGCTAGGCTCGGGGGGGTTGGGGTTGGCTGGCTTGGCAGGGCCGGGGGCGCAAAGTCAGAGGGTGGGTCGTTCGGTCGATCGATCGATCGGAGGTAATAGAGGATAACGGGGTGAGGCGATTGTTCAAACGGTCGCTGGCTCTCCTTCGATTACGATCGCACATTATACTGTCCGATGGTTGCTTGGAGCTAGACTGACTGGGTAAGAACAGATGGAGGTACACAGAGAGGAAGAGAGAGAAAGAGTGAAACGGTGCTCGTGAGATCGGTTGTCCCTTGGTGGTGGTGAAAGAACGGTGACACCGTGACCTCGTGACATCGTATAACGCGGATTCTTCGTTGATTCGTGTTCGACGATGTGTTAGGTCGGATCGTGTGGGAGGCAGGATTTTTCGGACGATGCTTGGAAGAGGCTGATGGTATCATGCTTAACGTCTTATGGGGTGTTGGATGGAGTGTCTTTGGAATGGCTTCCTCGGCCACTTTTACGCTTTTCTTTCACGCTGCGTGTTACAGAGTAAACGAAGAGACGGGCTCTCGTTTAGATGCGTAGACGCATGAACGCGCGCAAACCAGCTTAGATTAGAAGTGTCGCGGCGTATTCGGTGAAAAGTCGCGCGCGGGATGCACTGTGTCGTTTAAACCAGGATAATTGAGAAAACAACAAAGCAGACAATTGGAAATTATCGTAAGCGTTCGCGTAAGACCGACGTGAATCTTCTTTCATTGTGTGTGCGTACGTGTGTGAGTCGTGATCGTACGATGCGTGCGTGACAGGAAGAATCTCGCGGAGAGTCGAATGAAAGGGAGATTCCGGACTGATTCGCGAGCGGGATAGTAGGTGCGGTTAGCCGACACTGAATGGGAAGTAGAGACTTTCGTGAACAGCAGGTTACACTGAGGAACGTTGGCGTTAACGGAGTGGGATCTTTCTACTTTGGCGAGGACGAGCATTGGCCGTGGATACACGTTACAGAACACGTACACGCGAGAAGTCGATTAATGACCGGCTGACGAGGCAAACTGCTTCAAAGCGCGCCGCTGCGCCGTAATTTTATGGCGCCTTTAAAAGCTGCTCGTAGAAAAAGAAAATTAAAACAAAAGGGGGAAAACAGAGGACCCTCCTCCTCGTCGCGAATTGACTTAGCTGTCGTGACTGCGTTACTTCATTGGGTAAACAGAGTTCTTCGCGTCGTCGGGCGAGGACTAAATCATCGTGCGAATCGACTCGACCAGCCTAATGCGCGTTAAACGTGACCCGAGTGGAATTTCGGGAATCCCGCTAAAATAGATAGATCGTATCTCGAGGCTTCTGTACGAACGCTCGAATCAAACAGGTCTCGGAAATTGACTGACGTCGCGTAAGAAGCGATTCTGTTAGATTAACGCGCTCATAACTACTTTCCCGTCTAAAGAGTAAATTTAACCCCCGCGATACACAGTAAACTTTCAGTCAACACGACAATGCGGTAAGAGTATTGGAGTAGCGATAACGTGTATCTACGGTCGACACCTGGCCGCATAGAGACTACTGCTAGGCTTTTAGTGTGTATGGCAGCCACAGAGCTCGTGCCGAACCTGGCGAAATGTACAGGCGGGACTACGTCGTTCTTCTTACACAAGACGGATGTATACAGAGAGGCAATAAAGTATTGGCGTGTGAAGAAGTAGAAGAATAAGAAGAAAAATAGAAAAAGAGAGAAACAGAACAGAGGAGCGTATAGGGTGGGTGAAGAATGAAACGCAGGAAAAAAAAGAGAAAGAGTGAGAGAGATATAGAGATAGATAGATAGAGAGAGAGAGAGAAAGAAAGAGAAAAAAGAGTACAGAAAGAAATGAGAGTGAAAGTGTAGAGCAACGTGTAGCTAGCAACTGGATCGAGTGATGCGAAAGAGCGCTCCGTTTGTGAACTTCGAGTCTGTTTCGGGGGAGGTGTTTAAAAAGAGCCAACCCCTGACATTCCATTCTTTTTTGTCGGTAGTCCTTCTTCTTTCTTTGCCTTTTCTGACCGTTGGTATGCTAGCCTAAACATTACTGACACGTGAGTAACAATTGTTTCTCTACCGAGATCTTCGCCGCGCGGGGAGGATTCTAACATAGTAAAAAATCTTGCGCTAACGGTCCACTGAAATTTTACACATGTTTGTGTATTTTTTTAACACATTCCCTCTATATTAAAGTAATACAAAATTTTAATGGACCGTTTTTAACATAAAATTTTTTACTACGCAGTCTCTGTCGCCCGGTCGTTTTCTTTTCCCGCTCTGAGGCTCGAAGGTTCCGCGACTGCTTTTCTCCCCCGGCGAGAGCGATTTACGCTGCGAATAGAAAAGAGCCTACTTACCGACGTATAACACGGACACACTCGCACACACCCCCCCGCGATTCGCACATCCGGTGGACGGTGCGAAGTCATCATCGCTATTACCAGAACGCGTTAATTCCCGCCGAAAATGGCCGCGGAGGGTCCGCGACCGGTCTGCGGCCGGCTGCGTTAATTTTAGCCTCAGCAAGAGAGACCGGTTGCTTACCAACGCCCAGAAAAGGGCCAGAAGTTAGATAATTCTACTCTACCGATGGGAGCTGGATAATACCGTGTTCAAATCTGTCAAAGCGGCGGTAGCACGCCGTTACTCGGTGCACCCTCGCCCCGCCCAATAAGGTCGTAGGACAACGGGGGTTGAGGTGTTGGTGAGGGGAGATTTGGACGATGATCGGAGGGGGACACAGGGGGAGTAATACGATAAATGCCTCCACGAGCATCCTCCGGTGTATTATCAATCGGGTTAATACGCGCGCGTATTAAAGGAAAATCTGCGCATGCATCACGTACCATTCCCAGTGCATTCTCGCCGCGCCTCCCGTCGAGAGAAGTAGCCGGGTCACTCTCGAGCGAGAGAGAAAGAGAGTGAGAGGCGCACTCTCGGACAGCCGTACTTGCGCATTGGATCCTTCTTTGAGATACGTGTAGGCAATAACAATCACGAGGAACCGAGCAAAGCGCGACAGAGAGAGAACAACCGCGAGAATCTCTGTCGTGACGAAAATCAAGCCGCGCGTCTATCATCTCTGTAAAGAAGCTTCGACAAGTGGCAATCGACTAATAATTCGCGCGTCTCCGAATGTCATGACAGCGCGCTTCGGGCCGGCAGATCTACTTCTCTCAAGGCACGAGACTCAGAGCATTCTCAAGAGTATACACCATGCATGTTGCGGGCTTTGAATTCTACAGGCTTCAAGCGCTCTATTCTTGATCGAGTGGTAGTAGTAGTAGTAATAGTAGTAGTAATGGTAGTAATAGTAGTAATATGTATAAGCGCTATCCCCGCTCGATTGAATCTCTTTTCCCCGCATATCGGACGAATCTTTTTCTCCCGTGTGCAAACACACCGTGGCGCCTGCACATCGGAGGCATTCGCGTTCAACGTGGCGGGATAATAAGCGTAATAGCGCATTACGAGCGTCACTTCCGCGCGCTCACGCGAAGTGCCGTTCGCAGTGTTTGCGTTACTTTCGCGCGCGAGCGCCTTGTTCGAGCGTGTTAATTCCAGTGCACGCACTCGGCCGCTCGAGTGTGAGCCGCGGGGTTAAAGTGCGACGCTTTGGGCAAGCTGGAAAGCCCGGTTAGGAAATGCACATGTACGTACATTAAACGGTTAACGAGAGAGAGAGAGAGAGAAAGAGATACACACGCACATGTATGCAGACGACACACGGGCCGCGTGCAAGACAAAAGACACAAAGTAGCTTGTGTAAAACAGCTACAGAGAAAAACGTGTGGGTGTATGTTTGCACGAAAATCTGTAACACGTGTGTGTGTGTGTGTGTGTCTGTATGTGTGTATCATACGCGAATCGTTACGAAAAAGATAGTGCAGTTGACACCGCGACTAAAAGAGTGAGAGACAGGTGCGGCGAATGGTCCTTTTGAGTTCCTAATTAACGACGGACCGGTCGGCAAAGTGGCGCGCGCTGTGAGAGAGTCAATTTGAAGTAACGCTCGTAAATTTTCGCCCAAGGAAAATTACGTCGGGGCGAGCGCGACGCGTTTCGCAGCGAGAGAGAGAGAGAGAGAGAGAGAGGGAGATTCTCGTCTCGCTGAGAAACGAGGAGGATGTTTGAAAAGGGCAGAATTATTTTTGTTTAACTCGCGTTCTCCAGAGAGGAACGCGAGATTACACCGGGAGGAGATCACCTTCGTGTCGTAACGGAGAGTAGCCTCTGAGATTTAATTAATATCCCGTTATTTAACGCGCGAGGCTTGCAATTAATTAAGAAAACGGCTAATTACTGTCTTTGAATCAGGTTGCGCTCCGATCGATAGTGACCCGTCATCATTTCAATTAACGTTAACATTTCAAAAGCTTCTCAAGCGCGAACGATTGAATTTCGTACGAGAGTTGCGACGTACGCGAATTGCTATCTCCTCGCCTGCCGCGGATCCCGACGTTTACTCGCGAGTCCGTATTGCAAACGAAGATTCTCCATCGGGGGACTTTCTGAAACGCGTGAGAAAAGCGACTCGAAAAGCAGCATCCCGGCGAAACGAGCAGCGACGCCAGCGATCTATGTCGCGCGCGTCGTCCTCGCGCGCGACAAATTCGATCTGATATCGCTTTGTTAGCAACCATGAAAGACGCGAAGAAAATCCTACTGTATCGCAAAAAGCGCACACATGACGCTACAGCAGCTGCAGAAAGAAAAATCACGAAAAGAGAGGGCTCAGAACTCAAAATTTTTGGAGAACTGTGCACTGTGTGTCTGTGTGTGTTTGCATGTGTCATGTGCATTTGTTTCCTGTATGTGTGTATACGTGTATGTGTGCGTGTGTGTCTTTCGATTGTGTGTCATCGGTCGTGCTTGTTCGTCGTGTATACGTATCTGTCTGTAGATCTGTGTATGCATGAGAATACGTCTGTGTTGTATATATAAATATATA